TGTTTTGAGACATGTATCTATTTCATCTGAGTTGTTAGTTTATTAGTACAGAGTTGTTCACAAGATGTGTTGGCCAGCTTAGAGACCCTTATATAGAAGTCTGTAGAACTGGCTAGGTTGTCTGTGATTGCTTTCCTGATATTGCTCCTTTGTGTCTTTTGTTCTATTTTCTTCATTACTCTGGACAGAATCTTCTTAATTTTATGGATATTTACAAATAATCAGCTTCTAACTTCATGGATTTTCTGTACTGTTTTTGAGTTTTCTATTTAATTGAGTTCTGACCTTGATTTCCTTTCCCCTACTTTCTTTTAATTTTTTCTTCTTTTTGCAGTTTCCTAAAATACAAGATGAGGGCATTGTTTTGAAGCATTTTTTCTTTTAATATGTAGTTTTTAGTGCTAAGTAGTACTTTAGTGACATCACACAAACTTTGATAAGCTATGTTTTTTTGTTTTGTTTTGCTTTTTAGTTTTCGAGACAGAGTCTTGCTATGTAATTTAGGCTGGCCTTGCTCTCACTATGTGATCAGGAGGAGCGATCCTCCTGCCTCAGCCTCCTGAATGCTGGAATTACAGGCATGTACACTTGAACATACATTTTGCTTTTGTTGGATGATGTGTTCTGTGAATGTCAAGTAGATTAAGTTGGTTGATACTTCTATTTAAATCTTGTGTGTAGATTTGCCTGACTTTCTGTCTGCCAGCTATTTGCACATAGGTACTGAAGTCTCTGGCTACCAGTCATGCAATACAAGGGAAGGATGAAAAGGCGGTTTCAGCTCATCAGCCTCCCCCTGTTTCTCTGTGTGAACTGAAAGTGTTGCTTCTAGGAGTGATGTGAGTCTCCTTAAAAATTGGTGAAGCCCTTTAAGAAGCCCAAATAAATGTACCCTATAAATAAAATGTACCCTATAAATAAAAACCAAGTTGTATTCTGGGAGAATACAACTTCAAGGCAAATCTCCTTTCTGTTCCCTTACTTTACTGCTCTCCCTACATGCGTGCATGTAACATTCTGGATAAACCAATGTTGGATAAGCACAGTGCTTGTGCTTTTAGGTGTTTCATAGCTTTGGTACTGTAACATGAAATACAGGCATATTCCTGAAAGTTCTGAATGCATGCACAGAGAGACATGGATTGTTAAGGCTTTGAAGTCATGCATTGGAAACGTGGTTTAGGGCTTCCATGCCTCACAAGGAAGCCTGGAGCTCCAGAGAAGGATCATTTCAAGTATTAAGGTTTTGAGCAAAAAGGTTTTGGCTTTCTATTTAGCACTCACAACTAAGATGATTGAAAACGAAATCTCTTATGTCTATGAATTTCTGCACTTCCAGATGCCTTAAATAAATTCCAACCTTTCAAGTATCTGTTTTGGCATTTTAGTTTGAATACTAAATGGATAGAGTTGTAAGCTTTGCACCACTGCTTACCTTAGATCAAAATGGTTCCCTGGGTGTTACTTTTATAGACTGTTAAAGATCCCTTGGGCTACATCAAGAGTGTTGTATGTGGACGATTTCTTGAATTATAGCACAGAAACTTTAATGCCTACTTCAGGAATGATAGGAGTCCTAAATAGGCAGTCATATTTACTAAAGAAACCTAGAGTTTTCTTAGATTGCCAACCATAGCAAGACGAAAAATGTCAGGGTGACAGAGCTTAAGTGGCTCTTTCAGATATATCACATTGATTCTCTGTATTTAACATGGAAAGCTGCCTTCCAGAAGCTGTTTAATTAGTGAAAGTAACTCTGGGCCCTTAGGAACCAAATGGTTCAGTGAACAAATACATAGCAACAGGCGAGGAAGTGGGGCGTTATTACGAGCTCCACAGACACAGGGACACCTTGCAACCCCATATCAGGGATCCGAAACAGTGATTGGCTAAGAAAATTATCAAACCGAGCTTAAATTTCGTCAGGTAGAAAATTGTCATGCAAAAGTCCAGGACAGTGTGACCCTCTCAGTCGTCAAAGAGAAAGATAAGAAAAGCTGGATTTTGAAAGCCCCTCTGAAGGCTCCTAAGGTAAGAAGGTGCGTCCCTTCACGCGGCCCACAGACTCCACTAGAGAGAACTTTGCATGCCAGAGAAGGCAACTTGATTTCAGAAAGTGAATACCAACTTCGTGATTGCATTTTTCTTCCTTGCTCACATGTCCTATGGACAGGGCATAAAAAGAGCTAACAGAGACAGCAGAAAACTCTGTGCAGGGCAAGGCCAGACCTATCTGACTGGGAAGCGGACTTTTCCACTGCCAGTGTGTTGTTAGGTATCATTTGCTATTAGGAAGGGTAAATACATAAGATACAACAAATATCAGAGCTTAGGGGTCAGGATATTTTATACACAGTTGACTAAAACTCCACCACTGTTATGTTTATGCAGAAACGAAGGACTTTAGATCTAATCAGAGTCACTTTGCAGCTTTGGTGCTGCAAAGCTATGACAGGGTTTAATGAGAAAAGAAAGAAAAAAATCGATTCCTCTTAAACTAGATAAAATAGTAACATTAAACCTTTGACTCTTACTGAAACCAAATGTGGATCTGGGAATCTTACTTAACACATTATGCTACATATAGTTAAAAGCCTGGCTTTTCCACCTAGTTATAGGCTTTGTGAGAGAAGGACTCAGTATCTGGCCTGTATTTATTAGGCCTCTGATGACTGACTGAATCCTAACATTTGATAGCTTAGCATCTGCAAATTCAGATTTTGGCTGTGAAATTAATTGTTTTGAGATTTGATGCTAGAGTTCTGAAAGCCAGTTTAAAACTTAAGATACCTAGTGATTCTGACATCACATACATTTTCTGTTTTAAGTATTGTGGTAGAGTTGGGGAAAAAGGACAAGGTACCCCAAAACTGGCAAAGCTGAAGGTGGAAATTTGATTGCCTGATCACTTTGATTAGTTCTGATAACAACTTGGGTAACTCATTTTAAAAATCCACCTCAGGCTTTTAGGTAAGCTGCTGTGAGTCTTTGCTTTCACCACTGTCCTAGTTACTTGCACAGAGTAGCTTGCTAATTACTCATGCCAGTTCACGTACGATAATAGATGGAATCCTCCGGGGCAGCTTCTCAGTTCTGAAGCTTTCACTTCAGGCTCATGGCATCTGGCCATTTCCATGTTGGTCTTTCCAGCCTTCACCTGCTTGGGCGAAGGGTGACAGGCACCCCCGTGATTGCCCCTGAAGTGGAGCTGGAAGGGTGCTGAGAGCACAGACTGATGGATTGCAGGGTGGAAGGGGGGAACACTCTGCAGCCCTCATTACAGGGGCCTTCCCAAGACACACTGGCTCCTTCAAATCACAGTGTGGATCAGCCCTATGTAATAATCAGGCTGGGACTTTGATTTCTGCACCATCAGACAGCCATCGCTCTGTCCTCAAGCTCTGTGTGACACTTGCCCCAGAGTCAGCTCACCCTCATTTTATTCTGCAGCATTTTTGGAAGAGCTCTAACTATTCTTAGCCCTTTGCTGAGCAGCTACAAGAGCAAAGAAGTTGTTTTCCTCAGTAGCTCTAGAACCATGTCCTTTCTCCTCTGAGGAAATACCAAGGATTCCTATGGTAGTTGGTATTCACTGAGGCTTCATTGCCATTATATTCAGAGTCTATGCAGAAATATAACTTTTAAATCCAGTGGAAATTCATGAAACAGGACAAAAAATTTTTCTTTCTATAATAACAGTATCATGATATCAAGAAATTCAGTCTTCAGTAAATAGAAACTTAAAATGTTTGATTCACACAGATTATGCAATGTCTATTCCAATGCATGAAAAATACGTCCTAAATCAGCAGTGGTGAACCTATGGCAAATGTGTTGTTTTTGTTTTAAGACAAAAGATATTAATGGATGAATTGTTTTTTCTAAGCTAAAACCTCAGTGCTGGGTTTAAATGCAGTGTTGCTACTTTTTGATAAATAAGGGGGTTTGGGGTTGGAGTTTGGGAGTGTGGTCTCTAAAAGGTTCACCATCACAGTCCTAGATGCCTTCTGAATCAAAATTCTAATAGAGATGAGAAGCTGTGTCTTTAGATACCCTACATAATAATTAACATCATTTGTTAGGAGATTGCAAAGTGCTGAACAGCACTGGGAATGTTTATAGTGAAAAGTACACATTCATGAAATGCCCTGTGGTGTCTTTTGCTGACCTTGCACCTGAAGACAATTATCACCAAGACACTGGGGAGCTCACTGGAGGGTGGAGGAACAGATAAATAAACTGACCTTTGTAAAACAGCTCAGCATGTTGCTGGCTGGGTGCGCAGGAATCTCTGAGTATAAAAAGGAGACACCAAATGCCCTTTGCTGTGGAGTCAGAGAGTCTTGGAGATAATTTTTCTGCTAAATCTTGGGGTACTCTGAGGCATAGTGCTATTACTGTCCTAAGTGGAGGCAATGAAGTTTTAATGAAGCTACTTAAATTTCTCAAGCTAACACCACCAGTAGTGAGATAGAACTTAGATCTCTGGGCCTGAACCCCATTTTCTTTCCACAAGCCTAAGGCTCCCAGATCAGCATTTCTTCTCTTACAGTCTGATGCAGTCACATCCTACAGACTGGGTCAGAGATCACAAGAGCTGCACCTTTAAAGCACAATTTGGGTAGATTTAGTTAATGCCTGGTTAAAGCTCTTTAGAAGAGAGACTTGTCATTGCCATCAAGAACAGCAGAAGGACAAAGTCACAGACAGCTCTGGGCTGAACCTCCATGGCCGTTGGTTAGCACAGGCAGTGAAGGGCCAAGAAGCCACTTCAGTACTGACCCTGATGATGCCCTCCCATGTCACTATAGCCACCACACAAGGTGGACTTTGGGAACATCAGAAATCTTGTGTTTGGTGCAAACTCCTTGCCCTAAAATGGTGCAAATGTTACAGACCAAAAATATATATTACTGTAGTTACCACCTTTTACGTGAGAGTAATTTATTTTGTATATTTCTTTTCTTAAAAAGGGCCATTGATTATTATCTCTAAGGAAAATGAAGATAATTATATATTTTTGCATTTGGGCAGCAGCATGGGCCATTCCAGTAAGTATGTTCTCTTTGGAAAACTTTCTTACTTTGCTACCTATTTTAACCTAACAAAAATATTTCTTCAAGTCTGCAGATAGACTGAGTTTAAAAGTTTAGAATTGCATGAAAGAGCTTTCTAGATACCTTTGAGATCTCAACAAAAACAAATATGCAATCCATGTCTCATTCCTCCAGCTAAAACTCATGACTAATCAGATGAGTATTTAAAAACCTCACTCAGTTTAATTTACATTGAATGTCAAGAAGTTATGAAGTCTTGATCCATCTTTATTTTGTGTCCTATGAATTTTATTCTAATATCAAAAAGCCTGTGCTGTTTAGAAAAATTGAAAGAAACAGCAATATGGAGATTAGGGTTTTTAATAAATGAAAAAACTAATGTTTCAGTCAGAGAGTAAGTATTTGTATGCTCACTGGAAAATTTGGACTATCTGAATAAAAGTGGATAAAGAAACATTAAACAAATCAAATCAACCCATTTAGAATTTTATTAGCCAGCCCCCATTTTTCAACATTTCCACACACTATCTTAGCATCATGCTGGCATTTCTGCAGTTGAGAACTTTCCTAAGTATTTCAAGTGTTCTTGCAGAGCAGGACTGTGTTCTACAGGATTCTGCATCAGTGGGGCTGGGGTCGCAGTCCCTATTTTCTTACTGTTGTAGCGGGGATCATACTTGGGCTGGGTCTTGTGCTCAGCTTGTGGTACAGAAATACCAAGGGTCTATCTCTTTGTCTTATAAAAGGCAATCCTCATATGGCTGAGATAAAGTGGTGCAGCTAAAATTTCAATAAATTTGGTGGTAGAATAATGAAAAGTATCCAGTTTAAAATTCTAGTCCTGTAATGAACTGTTCTCTTTTTTACTTGGTTAGATTAGGACTTGACCTTTGTGTTCCAAATTTCTTCTTCACTGAAGGGAAACTCTGTGTGTGTCTCTGTGTGTGTGTATGTATGTATGTACTTGTGGAATAATTATGTACCCAAAATAAGAGTCTGTACAGTCTCCAGTGTTTACACTTTGGCAGGTTCCTCAATTCGGACCATCGGAGAGACACACTTTGGAAAAATCTGAGAATGTACATCTTCTAGAAAAATCAAAAGTGCCACTACAGGTATGGGATATAAAATGTGTTTCCTTTTATTTCTATCCCCAAGGTGTTTTTTGCTTTCCATAAGTTTTCTAAAATTTTCACTCACTTTTTCAGTTTGCTTTGCTGCAAGACAACCGCCATGGCTTACTTTTGAACTGTTTCTCTTCTCTAGAGTGAGCTAAATGTCAGTGCCACGACCGAAGAGATCGGTGTTCTTCTGCGTGAAAGTGAATTAGTAGGACAGCGGTCCACCCAGGACAGTTATGCAGGGGAAGGGACAGGTTGCGAGTGGACTCACCGAAGAGAGAGTGGTCTCCCTTCTACACACCCCATCTTAGCAAATAAACAGCAGGGTGCTGAGGAGGAAAGTGAGGTTGCAAGAAGACAGGAAACCCGTGATCATGAGGGGATATGCGGAGAAGATAACACAGCAGATGGCATCAGAGGACAGGGAGACATCATTGATAATGCTGCTGCAGTAAATGAGAGTAATATTAATGGACATACTGATCAGGACACAAGAATGGGAGGTGCTGGCAAAGCAAGCCATGATGAAGACGCCGCTGTTGTCCAAGAAAATGGACCTCAAGGAATTGGAAGTGATTATAACACAGCCGGTGAAGCTGAAACGGGGAACACAAAGGGAACACCAGCTCAGAGAGGAGGCGAAAGAAATGGGAATCAGGAGGCTGAGGCAGCACCAGGCAATGGAGAAAATGCTGGCCTGGAAGACTCTGAAGGGAGTCCTAGCGGAGATGGAGCAGATCAAGATCAAGGGGGCTCTGGTGACGGTGAGGGTGGAGAAACACGGAACGGAAGAGGGGGGTGTGATACCAAAAGTGGCCAGGAGGGCCGGGCTCATGGCAGAGAAGAGGACAGCAGCCTACGTCAGAGTTCAGTGAGTCCTGAAAACGAGAACACTGAAGGAGGAGGGCTGCCCCACACAGACACGGGTGGAGACGGTACCTCTGACAGCCAGGGGGATTCGGGTGGAGCTCCCCAAGGCAATGGCAGTCCAAGAGGAGAGGACGCCCAGAAACCCAGCGAAAGGAAGAGCAAAGATGTGGGAAATGGGATCCCCAAAGAGTTCGGTCCAAGCACTGTTGGGAAGACCCAGGAAAAGGTTGGTTTTGACTCTGATTTCCACCAGTAGCTGTTTATATTTTTCCTTCCACTCTGCTCAGGGCACAAAAGTAATGATGATTACCCTCCAGGTATGATCTATGTATTGTTTCAATATTTAGTGAAAAAGCGCGACCCTCATTAGATGTTTACATAGAATAATTTCTAAAATTCAGACATATCTGAACATTTGACCACAATCCTAGAAAAATCCACGCTTAATACCGATTTTCCATGTGAAGCTGACATGTTCCTGATGGGGAAAATGTGCATGGGACGAGAACAGATCTAAGCCCCGGAATCTGTTCAAATCCTGAGTAAAGCGGGCTGAGTAAAGCAGTTGCTGAGAAGCACTAGATGCTGGACCCCTACTCCTGTGGTCACTTGTCCCAGATGATTCTCCTTGGACCATGCAGTTTTTCAAATATTCACTAAATGATCTCTGTTTTCTCGAATGTCCCACAGAGAACAGAAGTAGAAGTTCTTAGCCTTGGCAGCAGGAGTAATGCCACCAAGGAAGTTGTGAAAGTCGGTGAAGGCACAGAGCGTAAAGGACCCCATGGGACAAGCAGAGGAAACATCAAGACTCATGGAGAGGGGGGCCCAGCAGGACCTGGCCCAAAGCCAGAGCCCGGGGACACACCCGGGCCTGGCAAGGCAGGCAGTGGCAGTGACAGTGATGGCTGTGACAGCTGTGATCTTGACGAAGGGTCCATGCAGGCGGATGATCCCCACAGCAGTGACGAGTCTCATGGGAGTGATGGCACTGACTCAGAAGGTGATAATGGCAACAGCAGCCGAGGAGATGTCACATACAACTCTAATGAATCCAACGATAGTGGTGACAACAGTGACTCAGATGGGGAAGATGATGGTGACACTGACAGCACACCGGATGCTAACGATGGTGATGGTGATGGTGACAGCGAGAGGGAGGGCAGTGCTGAGGCAGGAGGCAGTGACAGTGATGAAAATGGTGACAGCAAAGCTGACAGCAGTGACAGTGATGACAATGATAGCAATTCAGATAATAGTGACAGCAGTGACAGCGGTGACAGTGACAGCAGTGACAGCAAATCAGACAGCAATGATGGTGAGAGCAGTGTCAATGACAGCAGTGACAGTGACAGCAAATCAGAGAGCAGTGATGGTGACAGCAGTGACGGTGACAGCAGTGATGGTGACAGCAGTGACAGCAGTGACAGTGACAGCAGCGATGGTGACAGCAAGTCAGACAGCAGTGATGGTGACAGCAGTGACAGCAGTGACAGTGACAGCAAATCAGACAGCAGTGACAGCAGTGACGGTGACGGCAGTGACAGCAAATCAGACAGCAGTGATGGTGACAGCAGTGACAGCAGTGACAGTGACAGCAAATCAGACAGCAGTGACAGCAGTGACAGTGACAGCAGTGACAGCAGTGAGAGTGACAGCAAATCAGACAGCAGTGATGGTGACAGCAGTGACAGCAGTGACAGTGACAGCAAATCAGACAGCAGTGACAGCAGTGATGGTGACGGCAGTGACAGCAAATCAGACAGCAGTGATGGTGACAGCAGTGACAGTGACAGCAAATCAGACAGCAGTGACAGCAGTGACAGTGACAGCAGTGACAGCAGTGACAGTGACAGCAAATCAGACAGCAGTGACAGTGACAGCAGTGACAGCAGTGACGGTGACAGCAAATCAGACAGTAATGATGGTGACAGCAGTGACAGCAGTGACAGTGACAGCAGTGATAGTGACAGCCAGTCAGACAGCAGTGATGGTGACAGCAGTGACGGTGGCAGCAGTGACAGCAAATCAGACAGCAGTGATGGTGACAGCAGTGATGATGACAGCAAATCAAACAGCAGTGAGAGTGACAGCAAATCAGACAGCAGTGATGGTGACAGCAGTGACAGCAGTGACAGAGACAGTGACAGCAGTGACAGCAAATCAGACAGCGGTGATGGTGACAGCAGTGACAGCAGTGACAGCGACAGCAAATCAGACAGCAGTGATGGTGACAGCAGTGACAGTGACAGCAAATCAGAGAGTGGTGATGGTGACAGCAGTGACAGTGACAGAAAATCAGAGAGCAGTGATGGTGACAGCAGTGACAGTGACAGCAAATCAGAGAGCAGTGATGGTGACAGCAGTGACAGTGACAACAAATCAGAGAGCAGTGATGGTGACAGCAGAGATGGTGACAGCAGTGACAGTGACAGCAGTGATAGCAGTGACAGTGACAGCAGTGACAGCAGTGACAGTAGTGACAGCAGTGAGAGTGACAGCAAATCAGACAGCAGTGATGGTGACAGCAGTGACAGTGACAGCAGTGACAGCAGTGACAGTGACAGCAGTGACAGTAGTGACAGCAGTGAGAGTGACAGCAAATCAGACAGCAGTGATGGTGACAGCAGTGACAGTAGTGACAGCAGTGACCGTGACAGCAGTGACTGCAGCAATAGCAGTGGCAGCAATGACGGCAGTGACGGCAGGGACAGTAGAGACAATAATACCTCTGACAGCAGTGATGAAAATGACACTCAGAGCAAGTCTGGTGATAACGACAATGGAAGTGACAGTGACAGCGACAGTGAGGGCAGTGACAGTAACCACTCAACTAGTGATGATTAGAACAAAGAAAATGTGGTAAGAGGCAGGATGCTGACTCCGATAGGACAAAGGAAGGAGAGAACTCCTGGAAGCCATGCAAACATCATCAGATGGCCATGGACCCTGTGACACTGCAGGGCTGGCTGGGGACCAGGCCCCAAGTCCCCCAGAGGGAACCTAGAAGGCAGGAATTTTGATGCACTCATTAAGAGATGTTCATGTCCTGAAAATATTTTGTTAAAATGGTGAACATAAACATACAAGAGTAATGAACACAGTCCTTAGTACTTTACACAGAAACCATCAGTATCACTTACTACACGACCATTTCGACTAAGCAACTCAGTAAGCAAACTCATCCTATAGACAGCCAGCATCACCCTGCACCCTGGGAGTCAGGTCTCGGGCGGGGGGCGGGGGGGTCTGCTCACTGTGCAGGAAAGGTCCTGTCACATGATGCCAGCTTGGCTACCGACTCAGTCCCTTGTTCTGGGGGAGAAATATCTTTGTAACATGAGAAAAACTCATAGTAATTATTTAATCTATGTGAGGCATGATCCCAAGAGGGCTTATGAATTGTACATTACCTGAGTTCTAAAGATTGTAGTCAGAAAAGAACACAGGTTGGTTTAGACAAGATCTGTGTACAATACTGCATTTCTTTACACCACTGGAAATTGAGTAAGAAATCCCTACAACTATAAACAAACCTGATGCAGCACCTACAACAGAACAGTGCATCCAGCAGCCTCTCCACCTACTAAGTAAACTGGCATGGGAATAGATGGCTCCAGGAGGTGGGGTCAAGGTAAATCACACATTCAGTGCTGGGCTATCAGGTGTCTAAAAACAGTCTTCCTAAGGCCACCTCGGTTTGCATTTTCCTTTTAAATCTCAACATGCCAGACTCCCCAGACCAGAACCTGAGACTCTCTTTTCTCTAGCAATCTCTTCAAGAAAGCCAAAGTTGCTAGTGGGTAATACCTGGAAAACCTCTCTTTCTTATTTAAGAGTCATGTATGCAGTTAAGATCCCAGCATAGATCATTTAGCTTTTGCATGCATAGGGTAATTCTTAGTCTTGAGATGAAGTTCAAATGCTGAACAATTAGAATCTTGAAGACTCATGAGAAAAGAATAATTTTTTGTGGGTGGATATATATCACACACTCTCAGGACTTTTGAGAGTGAAAGGGGTGTTATGATTAATTACAGAAGGATATGGTGTGTAAGTATGGATTGCTCCAGGAGACTGGAGGATACTAACCAATAAACTGTTAGGGTATTTTTCAAGATTTAGTGTAATTTCCCTCTTTTCACATGTAGGTAATTATTTTAGATTTGTCCTAATTTCAAAGCTAAGATTTACATTGGAAAGTTATAAATGCAACTTCTTCAACATTAGTTTTCAATGTTAATATCTTATAATTCAATATTAAGCAAATTCTACTAAAATTTTTTAGAAGGCTTTTTTTCTCCTTCTTCCTCCTGTATGCAAAAGCTTCTTAAGAAATCAAAATTACAAAGAATTTTGTTACAGCCTTTAAAAATGCTGCTATTAAAAACTTCTTTGTAACTCCTCATACAGTAAAATGTCAAATCTTGCTATAACCCATATAATTACTCCAAATCTCTTACCTTAAAATATGCTTCAAGTTTTCAAGTTGATTACACTTTAGAATATTTTGTTTCAATTTGTAAAGCACCACTTCTAGTATGTCACACCTATTTCAAATGTTGTCATGAGTACCAAGTTACCAATGTATGTCAAATTCTTTGTAAACTGGACAAGATGTGTACGTGAAAGAGCATAAATTTCAATGATATAATAAGCATTTATTAATACCATTGCTAACATGGAAAACTCTTCATCCTAAGGAGTCTACAAATATTTGTCATCTCCATCACAAAATCACATTGTTTTTAAAATTAGCTATTTTAATTGAAAAAGTGATATATATATATATATATATAAAACATGTCTATATCTATATATCTATATATCTATATCTATATCTATCTATCTATCTATCTATCTATCTATCTATCTATACTTATACACAAAAATCTCAAATACTCTGTCAAGGTAAAAAAAAAATACTACCTCTCAAGCATTCTAGGCTACCAGTCCTCTATTTTTTTTCCCCCAGAGGCAATTAAGTTTACTAATAACTTATGGAACTTTTCAGAAGTGTTCTCTTTGTTTTCCTCTAAAAAATGCCCAGAAGTCTACAGCACACAAAGTGGTCACTTCACTCTTTTTGGTGCAACAGTATATCTTGAGTATTGGCTCATAGATCAGCAGCACTCCTTTCCCCCCACCTGTGTTTGACTTTATTTTATAAAGTATTATAAGGTGTTTAACTTGCCCTTACTGTCATATCACTTTCTATCTTGGTTACTTTTCTATTGCTAAGACAAAATACCTGATGTGCAAAATTAAGGAAGGGAAAGTTTATTTAGCTGACAGTTTGTAGAGGTTTTAATCCATAACTGGCTGGTTCCAAGGGAACGTGGTTTGCCAGAGGGGCAATCATTCATAGTGATGGAAGACAACAACATCAGCAAGAGCAAAGAAGAGAAAGGCAAGCCTTTTCCACCCTTTATGAAAATTACCTGCCCTAGGGCAGATGTTACACTCACACCTCCAATCCCAGCACTGGACAATGAACCAATCAGAAACTCTAGGCTTTGCTGCCCTCCACATAACTACATAAGGCACTGGGGGGACATCTAGATACAGACAATAACATTCTGTCCCTGGAAACCAAAGATTTGTGTACATCCCTTTATGCAAAAGACATTTAGCCCATCTCTAAGAGTTGTCAAAGTCCTAAAGTTTCAGAATCACTTAAAAAGTCTAAATCCCAAGTCTCCTCTGAGACATAAGGCCACCTCTTAGCTGTGAGCTGTGTACAAATAAAAAGAAAGTTAAACATTTCCAACATTTAGTGGCACAGTATAAATATTTCCATTTTGGAAGTTACAAACGGGGATACAAAGGAATGGGACAAAAGCAAATCCAAAATCCAGCAGGGCAAACATTAAGTCCTGGAGTTTATGTGTAGCATATCAGGCAATCTGTGGCAAGTTGTGAGCTCCAAAGTGTTTGGGTAGCTCTGCCCCTATAGCACATTTGTTGTAGCTCCCATGGTTTCTCTCTTGGGCTGGCTCTGCTCCCTCCTTGTAGTTTTTCTCAGATGATCTATATTCCTGGATTCTCCAAACTTGTGAAATCTTCACTGCACCTTTGGCATTACTCTCACAGCACCACACACTGCCATCTCAGAGGCACACTGTCTGGCCTCCTAGACCTTCTAAAACCGGGGTAGAAGCCTTATTAATCCTACAACACTTGCATTTTTTATGTACCCAAAACCAGTGCCACATGAATGATGCCAAAGTCTCCTGACAGCTGGAATAGTAGCCAGGGTTTTCTCTCTCCTGGCTGTAGGAGTTGAGTGTCTAGATTGCTGAACACTCTAAATCCAATTGTGAGGAACAGATTTTCTAGGCTTCCACCATTCTGGAACATGTGTGGCTACTGTTATTCTGGAACATGGTGAGACCACTGCCATTCTGTAATATGGTACTCTGTGGCTTTTCTCTCAAAATAAAGTCTTTTACTTTTGTAGTTTTGCAGCTGCAAAGGTTGGAGACTTGCTGCTTCTTGTGATGCCCTCAGGCCATATTTTGCATTTTCATTTCTTCTCAGAAATCAAGATTTCTTCAGCTCTGTCTTTGCAGTCTACAGCATCATTGGAGCTTTCATTTAAACCAAACTCACAGTATTTTAAATCATTTTGATAGGTTCTTTGCTGTTGATTCTCAACATAAATACGGCTAAAATACTCCATCAATAGGTATGCCATTGCTTCAATGTTAGATTGTCTTGAAGCTTCTTCTGCCACATTAATTAGTCCATGACACTTAATCTCAGCCTCAGGAAAAGTCTCTGAATGTAAGAAAAATGCAGACAAACTTTCTTCCAAAGCAAAACACACATTTTCTGGAGTCTAATAATCAGTGCAGTTCTTCTTCCCAGCATAAAGCTCTTAAGCCTGGTCTTCACTGGCAGGATTTCTATCATCTTCTGGTCTTGTGAGCTCTAAACAGAATCTCCCGTAAAGAACAGCCTAGGGAATTTCAGCTCTACTTTTTCAGTTGGCATCTTTGAACCTCTTCCCAAAGGTCATTTGCAAAGGCTCCAGAACCACATGGTCAAGTATAGTTACAACAATGACCCCACTCCTGGTATCAAATTCTGTCTTGGTTACTTTTGACATTGATGAGACAAAGTACTTGATCCCAAAATTAAGAAAGAAAAGGTTTATTTAGCTGACAGTTTTTAGGGATTCCAGTCCAAGGTAGGATAATGTGGCAGAAGGGCTGCCATTCATGATGGTGGAAGGAAACAAGAGCAGCAAGAGCAAAGAAAGGAAAGACAGGCCTTTCCCTCCCTTATGTTGTATGCAGGCTACCCACCCTAGGATGCAGGTCCCACTCACACCTTCAGTTCAGCACTAGAGAGGAACCAATCACAAACTCTAGATTCAGCCACATCCAAACAGCTCCCTGCCCCATGACCACATGAAGCTCCAGGGGCACATCTAGATATAAACCGTAACACTTTTCAAAGCTATTTCCTGTCTCAATGAGAATCAGTAGATGTTGCACTTTTCAAAGCTATTTCCTGTCTCAATGAGAATCAGTAGATGTTGCCTGTGATAATAGCCTAAATCAGACACATTTTTAGCCAGTTCTTATAAAGCCTTTTCCTTAAGAATTATTCCTAAGGGGACAGATGTTTAGGATCTAAGACTGATATAAGAAATCATGAAGAAAGAATACGGCCCCCATTGTTTCATATAACCTCATTTGCATGACTTCTGGAGTTTTGGGTCAAAAATGGAGCAGACACACTTCAAAAGAATGTCTCAAGAAGTCCTCTAAACACAAGAGTCTGGTTTATGAAAAAATGCATTTTAAATTATTTTCTGAAATAAAGATTAATAAGCTGTCTCCCAGTCTTGCTTATGAGGACAGACTCTTTTGAACTGCAAGTTGCCAATCATTTAGTATCTCATGTTAATCTAGTGAGTTATGGCAACTTGTTTGTTTGAGTTTTTTTTTACTGGTACATATTTTCAGAACATGTAGTTTATAGTTATCTTGGGGGGGTGGGTACATTACATAATAGAGTTTGGTTCTTTTTAAAATCCTTTTCCCTCCCAACTAGCTCCCTTCTTGAAATTATATTTCCCAATTTTCATTATTGTTGATGTTATTAATCTTAGCTCAAATTTATGACATATAATGTTAATATTCATTGAGGTTATTAAGTTCTTGTACATGTATAGGTTCATTTACATGTACACATCTTCATTCTACTTATTGTCCTTTTCCCTTCTCTCTCCCTCTGTCTCCAGAAAGGATCATGAGAACCTTTCCCTCTTCTCTTTCTATTTATTATTTATTGTGTTCTTTGTACTTCACTTGCTCAAATGAGAGATACTGTATGGTATTTAAATTTGTGAGTTTGATTTATTTCACTCAATGTTACACTTTCCAGATGCATCTATTTTTCTACAAATGTTTTAAATTTGCCCTTCTTTATAGCTGAGTAATATTGTATTGTATATAGTTACCACACACTGTTTATCCAATTGTCTATTGATAGGTATACTAGTTGCTTCCAGGATTTAATTATTGTGAATTTTGCTACTATAAAGACTAGTATGCATGTATCACTGTAGTATGATATCTTTAGTTCCTTGAGGAAGACATTTAGAAATGGAATAGTTGAATCACACAGAATTTCTAATTGGAGACACTTGAAGATTCTCCATATCAGTTTTGATAATAGTTGTACTAGTTTACATTCCCAACAATAATGTAGGAGAGTTATTTTTTCACTGTGGTACACTAGCATTTGTTAGGTTTTAAATTCTTGATGATTGCCATTGTTTCTGGTGTAAGATGGAATCTTGGTATTGTGTGAATCTACACTTCTCTGATGGGCAGATATGCTAAAGATTTTTTCATATATTTGCTGGCCATTTGTAGTTCTTCTGTTCACTTCCACATTTCTTGATTAGGTCTTTTACTTAGGTGGTGTAATTCTTTTTACATTCTTTATATATTCTAGATTATTAGTTCTCAATCTGAAAAACAGCTGGGAAAATTTTTCTGCAATTGCAATTTTGCAAACTGCAAATTGTCTCTTCACTGTATGTAGATTCCTTTGCTGTGCAGAAGCTTTTCAACTTGATGTAATCTCATTTGTTGATTCT